CCAGTGCTATTGTTGGCAGCTAGAGCCTAATCTCCTCCATAAACTGATAAAGCTCAATCTTAAAAGTAGCTGCGTTTTTGTCCTCGTGCTCTTGGGGGAAGGTTGTTCTTAAAGTCTCCTCCCGGTGCAGCTCTGGTGATGCTGATGGTGTTGCATGGCTGTTACTAACAGCTTATTCTAATCACTGCGAGGTGGCCTCTTTGTCAACTTGTCCTGATAAATCCACAGAGCTTCTTGGGAAAGAGCAAATGAGGGGAAAAGGACAACCATTTAGAGCCCTGCTTATATTTGTCCCATTAATAGCTTGGGAGGGGGAGAGGAAATCTCATTCTTAACTGACAGCATCACTGAGACAAAGGTTTGCTGTGTCATTACCGTATGATTATTTTTTTTAATTGAACAGCCTTACTTTAAACATTATACTTTAGGATTTGTTTTAGGATATTGAGGATCATTAGATGCTTCATGTTCTCAATGTAAAGGTTCTTAATGCACTAATTAAAAAATAAAACTGAAGGCTTCTTGACTGACAGCCTTACTATAGGTATTGATATATTGAATCTGCATAATACCATACAAATGATTTGTAATTGTTGTAATTTAAGGAATTTTAAAAATATTTTGTTCTTGGGGTTTTTGTTGTGGGTTTTGTTATGAAGGCGTTAATTCCTATAATGAGTTTTGTGGTTTCAAGATGTGTCAAAAGAGAAAATGCAAAGTTGTGGCATGTTAGTCTGTATTATATAGCAATTCAGTGGATAATTTTTAGAGCTATGATGGGACATATTATGAAATAATGTGTATGTGGATTGACAGAGAATGAATTTTGTCATAGAACTGGGTACAGTGAATCCGGAGACAAGCTTACTAAAATACCAGTTTCTGAGGTGTAAATATAGTCAATTTATTGAAAATTATTATTGATTTTGAAACATACTTAATGCAACTGACTTGTGGCAGGAATACATCAAACCTGACATTTTAAAGAAATTATACAGGCAAATGTCAATATTTCTGTATATAAGATTTGAGCAGAAACATAAATAATAGATAGAAATGTATTTAGAAATAAATAAGTGCATGGTGGATTTGGCACAGTATATCAGCTGCAGATCATGAAATAATGGCAAATTTGGTGGCAGAAGTAAAATATCAAGATAGATTTCTTACCTCTCTTCTGTTCTTGAAGAGCTTTCTTTGTAACTGAAATGTGTTGCTGCCTTCAGGTATTGCCAGATAACACAGGAGATAGTGTCAGTTCTTGAAGAGCTTTCTTTGTAACTGAAATGTGTTGTTGCCTTCAGGTATTGCTAGATAACATAGGAGATAGTGTCAGTTTCTTCATTCCAGTGGCATAGAAATCATTGTTTTCAGATGTAATCTTTTATTCTTTGTTTTTATGGTAAACAATACATGTATGTTATATTTAGGTATATATTTTAGTCTGTAGAGACTGAAGCCACTATACTCGTTTCTTCATTCCAGTGGCATAGAAATCATTATTTTCAGATGTAATCTTTTATCCTTTGTTTTTATGGTAAACTATACATATATGTTATATTTAGGTATACGTTTTAGTCTGTAGAGATTGAAGCCACTATACTCTTCAGCGTATCCTTTCAGGGTCTTTTAAGGTCAAGTCTTTGTAGAGAGCATGGTAGTAGCTTACTCTCGTAATGCAACGATATGTGCACTGGAGCACCCAGAAATAAGATCAACTTTCATGTAAATACAAATAGAAGGTAAAAATTGATAGGTTGGTGGGGTTTTTTGTTTATTTTGGGGTTTTTTTTTGTAATTCTTGGCCTTTGTAGCACTGAACTTTAACCACACATTTTAATGTTCTTATACTAAAGCATCACAATGTACATCATCATTTCCATTTTATCTTTCTGACTATTTTAGGCTTTTTGTATTGATGCCTACTCAATCCAGCTTTGGGGCCAAATATTCAGCTGTTTTATTCGTGGTGCTGGAGGTAGTCACTTCTACTAGCTGTCACTTCTCACATTCTTCCTTGTTATCTTATAAGAGAGAATCATTTAAAGCAGTTGGCAAAACCCAATTGCTATCTTGCTCCTGTTGGATCGTATTTTGGAGGAAATTTCATAGGGTTTGGGCTTTCTGTCCTACCTGATGTCCACACTTTACCCCTTTTCCTCCCTGTGCCAGGAGTTTTGGTCTTCTCTAAAGTGTGTTCATAAAATCATATGTATTTCTCTAGAAGTCCTATGTTACAGCATTAATGGCTATTTTAATTTCCACCTCAATTGATGAGAAGTTAACCCACCACCCTCTCAGTGAAGAACCTTCTCCTCGTGTCCAACCTGAACTTCCCCTGACGCAGCCCCATTCCATTTCCTCACATCAGCTCAAGAATTAAACAATGGTTTCTGCATGATATGAATAGGATCTGGTTTATCTTTTTATTTTCTCTGGAATATTACAAATACTTTTATTGGACAGTTGTAAGGCTGTATACTCTCTAAAGTTATCTCTTTTGGTCTGATCTATTAAAATTCCTATTAACATTTCATGTTGAACAAAAATTCATTTTTTTGACTTTGACATCATTTTGTTGTTCTTAAAAGTGAGAACAAAGAACACTTAACTAGATGTACCAACCAGACTTCAGGTTAAATGCATACTACATTTAATAAGATTAATGTTAATTATAAAAAATTAAGGAATGGCATACCTTGAGATTTTATATTTTTTCTTAGTAATATTTAGTGTATGTAGTTTCATTCATCCTTCACTGGTGTTTTGCTCAAGATTCTGATTCTATGTGCCCTTATCAAGCAAAGAGCAGCGTGAAAGCGAAGGCTAAATGCACTGGGCTTAATTTATTTGAAACCATGATTTTGGGGTGTAACAAGCAGTAAAAACAGAGATAGGATTTGTTCAAAAAATTGTAAGTTTTTTGTTTATAGGAGCGGTACATCAGTAAGATTTTTATCATTTAGTCATAGACCATGGATAGGGTTGCTTTGAGCAGCCACCTGTAGACCATGGATAGGGTTGCTTTGAGCAGCCTCCTGTAGTGGGAGGTGTCCCTGCAGGGGGGGGTTGGAACTTGATGATCTTTATGGTCCTTTCCAACTCTAACCATTCTATGATTTCCTCAGCTTTATGAATAGAGGTGTCTCAATTAATCCTATATTTCCCATATAGTTAATGAGACCGTGCAATTATATGCTTTTTCCGTTGTTTATGTTTGAGCCGAAGTCTCAAAGGGCAAGAAATGTGGAAAAAATTCAGCAGCACAGTGGGAAGTTCCTCTGTATGTTCTTGGGGTGGGAGTCTTGATTTAAATTTTTATTATTTGTTGTGTGTGGTTTGTTGGCTTTTTTTTTCCCCTTGGTGTCCTTCCAACTCTAACCATTCTATGATTTCCTCAGTCTTATGAATAGAGGTGTCTCAATTAATCCTATATTTCCCATATAGTTAATGAGACCGTGCATTTATATGCTTTTTCCATTGTTTATGTTTGAGCCGAAGTCTCAAAGGGCAAGAAATGTGGAAAAAATTCAGCAGCACAGTGGGAAGTTCCTCTGTATGTTCTTGGGGTGGGACTCTTGATTTAAATTTTTATTATTTAAATTTTTATTTATTTTTTTTGCCTCGGTGTTGTAATTCCTGAGTAAGAGGTTGGAAAGGAAAAGTACCACTGCTTTTCTTTATTTCCCTGCTGGGTGTAGAGTGGGACTAGTAATGACACTGACCTGCTCTTTGGAAATGGTAAATCATGTTGACAGTGGGAAGTTCCTCTGTATGTTCTTGGGGTGGGAGTCTTGATTTAAATTTTTATTATTTGTTGTGTGTGGTTTGTTGGCTTTTTTTTTCCCCTTGGTGTCGTAATTCCTGAGTAAGAGGTTGGAAAGGAAAAGTACCACTGCTTTTCTTGTAGAAAAAGTGGGTGTAGAGTGGGACTAGTAATGACCCTGAACTGCTCTTTGGAAATGGTAAATCGTGTTGTCCAGTAACTCCAGTTAATATCTGGAACTTCCAGCTCTTCTTTTCCTACTTTGCATTGTTTATTTCTTGGTTGAACAATTGACTTCACAGTCCAGCTTTTGCATTTATTATATTACGAATTTTGGGAAACGGCTCTTTAATCCGGTACAGAGGATGTCTGGCTTCTAGATTTCTTAAGAAATTGGGGTTTTTTTAGGTCTCTGTAATCTCTGTTGAGGATTTGCTAGTTGCTGCGACTGCGCAGCCGGGAAGGTTTCTGTGCTAATGTCTCCTAAACAGCACCGTTGAGCTGTGGGTGAGCAGTACGGCTTCTGTGCCTCCTTTTACCTCTTGTTTCCATCGGTAGAATGTGCTGAGAAATCTGAGGTGAAAGCTGGCAGCATCCCAGAACGGGAGAACTCGCTGCAGGAGGGATAAATACACTCACATCCGTGAAACACTCCCCAGGGAGAGGAAAGAAGCAGATGCATTCCGATGAATTAGTGAAAATTAGGCTTTTTACATTTCCCAACCAGTAGCTGAGCCCTTCAGGCTCTGCTGGCTGCGAACAACGGAGATGCAAATCTTCTTCTCTTTCTTTCTTTTTCCCCTTTTTTTTAAAAAAAAATGTTAAATAAAAGATGTTGGGCACTTGCGATAATCATGGCCCCTCCTACTGTGCCAGTGGAAACCACTCCCTGCACAACCAAAACATCACTGATTCTGAAGGGATTTTATATTTCAGTCCAAGCTTTTGTGCACTGAACCACGTTTCTTACAGACAGGACATTGGGGAAAAAAAAAGGAAAAGCATTTTTTAGGAGACCAAAAAGAATGACTCAAAGAGTGCCTCATTTTCAGAGCTCAGGAGCGGTGTAAAATCAAGCTTGAAGCCTTAACCTGCTTGAATTTAATATACTGGAATATATTATTTAGTAATTCTTTTAGTGTTTGAAGCCTTAACCTGCTTGAATTTAATATATTGATATTATTTAGTTATTGTTTTAGTGCTGATTTCTGTTTTCCAGTTCAGAATCCAACACATTTTAATTGCTGCTAAAAGTATTTCTGATTGTCTATTTATGAATGTCAAGCTTATTAATGTAGAATCAGATCACAGAGTTCAGCTTGTACTTACATGTGTTCAGGTTCTGTGCTTTTTATTCAACTGTGCCTTCTGTCATGGCTTGGATGGCTTATATTTCCCACTGGTTTGATGAAGATGATTGGTATGAAGGACAACAACGAGTAAGAATTGTTTAAATTAATATTTTTCTCTTTTTACTTCCTTTATATTTCTCTTCTGTAAGCTGCTGTTTGTTTTATTACTAGTACCAAAAGTAATATTCCCATAGCAATACTAAGAAGTGATTTTTTAGTAGCTTTAATGAGGTTTTGAATCATAGATAAACACATCTAAAATGAGGTTTTTGAAAATTAATGTTGCCAGCTGGATAAAAGATATTGAAAGTTTGGTGGCCACCTATTTGCATTTTTGAGGTTGCATAATTTAATGAGTAGTAAATCTTTAATATGCAATGAGATAGAAATGAAGCATTTAACTTTATTGTCTTAGGAGGAATTAATCTATTGTGCATGGAGCAAACGAAAATAATTATAAGCAGTAATTGAGTAAAACAAAAATATTTGGGAGGTGTTAAATTCACCCAGGGTCATTTCCAAGTTGTACCTTGGGTATCTGTATATTTTTATTAACGTTTTTCCAAGGAGGAGGAGTCGTTACTATAGCAACCATTGCAGGATTTCTTGGCTTTTTTTAACGTTTATTAACTGTGTGCCTTGGGCAAGCTGATCTGCTGCTGCTTTCATAGATCAGTGGTGGGAAGGGAGTATAAGTCACGTTTCTTTCACTGTATCGAGCTTTTTTTATGTAACCACCTGTTTCTGTAGTTTCTATTTCTCATTTTGATAGTATGTTCTCAGCTCTCGAATCAGGATGGGGAAGATGCTGCTGAAACAGCTTTAATTGTATTACTGTCTATTACTTGGTAATGCCAGTCATATGCTTGTAAGTATTTAAAAAGAGCAGATTTTAATACTTTTCCTCTGTTCTCATTTTATCTCACTCAAGATAAGAATGTTTCAGATGCAGAGTTATCTTTTAATAAAGATATTAATATATTAATCCTCAGGGATTTGGCTGTGAGACATGTCAAGAGGTAACTTTATCTGAAATCGGAAGTGTCCTCTTGGCAGTTGGCCAGCAGAAAAGCCATCTTCTAGTGGTTCTGGTAGCTCTGGGATGGAAGATGAGACTCAAATTCTTACGGAGGCTCTTAGATGCTTTGTACTGAGATCAGACGTGGTTGTATGTATTTCTTTGTGTCTGGAAACTAGATTTCTGGTACCATATGACTAACCAGTGCTTTGACAGATACAATGTCTTGGGTGAATTAGGTAGCCAGTTCAACGTTACTGGTGATGTATTGGTAGAAATACCAGCATTTCTCCATGCTCTGTTTCAAACCCTGGTGTTGCTCTTTAGATTTTAGAGGTTGCACAACAAAGAATATTCTAGATAAACTGTACAAGTAGCGTAGTCAAGAGTGTCACAACCACTCCTTTTTAAGACCCCAAGTTATGGCTTTCTAATGTTAAAATGCCTTAGGTATCTATCTTGGATTAATATATTTGCTTTTAATTTAAAATAAGTGTTTGTTCATGTAAAATTCAATCTCAGGCTGTGATTTCCAATCCAAACTCTTTCCAGACTTCAGTGAGAGGTCCACAACTTCTTCCCTTGTGAAGGCAGAGATACTGTGGTTACCTCAATTCCAGTAATAATTTGGCTCTGAGTTTATTATGGAGGTTTAAAATGCTGTGAACGCTAGTAGAACACTTGTTCATTTAGAATGATCTTTTAAACAATAGTGTTCTTTTCCTAGTCAGTGGGTGCATAACTGAACACTTGCTGGATTATCGTTAATTATCGTTAATTAATTAGGAGATGTCATCTGCAAATGCTGGTTGCAAGAGTCCAGCCAAGGCTTCTGGGGTTCTTGAAGGACCTTACTGAAATTCCAAAGGCACTTGTCCAATAAACCTACATAATTATTCTACATTGTGATTGTCGTGATTAAAGTAGTCAGTCTTGGCTCATCTTTTGCCCAGAAGGAGTTGCTTGAGGGTTGTGTGTGCACAGTCTCACTAAGAACCTCCATTAGCAACTGCAGTTCGATTTTCCACATCAAGAACTGAAAATTCTTTAGCATTTTTTTGTATTCCACGCAAAATAGGAAGAATTTTTGTTTAAGGGCAGTAGCTCAACTGATATTGGGATATCTGGTTCTTAAGGAATTATAACAAATATGGCACTGCCATCTGTTTCTTTGTTTCTAACCTTTTTTTCCCTATGGATCTATTAAAATCCATCACAGCTGATCTTTGACAATATGCATACTGTCAAATTTTTCATAGTGTAAGATTTATTCTCCTCTTCTGATGTGCTTACTTTTACTTTTGAGATTCCCCAGATTCATAAAGTAGTAGATATAAATATATTTAAATGTAATGGATAAATAGCACAGAGTAGAATTTAGAAAATGTATTAACTTCTCAAATGCTGCTTCCAGAAACATTGAAATTTTTGGAAAATTCATTGCTCTGTTTAGTCTTAGTAAATTTGATATGTCTGTTGGCTTTTAAGTTGAGTATCTACTAGAATGTTTTCAATTATCTTTTATGTCATGGGTCTGGACATAATAATCATAATTTAATTTTTTAACATGGCTATAAGGTGCTTGGTGGTTTCCAGCCCCGTTGGGAGAGGCCTAGGACTAATGATGTTTATGTTCTTACGTGAGACTTGGTGCTGTTGAGGCAGGCGCAGTCAGGAAGAGGTTGGTCTCTGCTGCATCCTGCAGACACATCAAGATTTCTTGGTAGGTTGGAAGACCTTCATGTTTTTAAAAAGAGTTGACCATTATCTGGTGCTTCAAACTGTGGAATGAATTTGAATCTCTCTGGCTCACAGGTCACATTTTCATCTCCAATTGATTTTCCCACAAAGATGGGTGAATATGGCCCATGTCTTTAAGGAGACATCATCTTTATATCACTAAAGAAAATCTTTAATTATTACATTATCATTGGTATAGCGACAAAAATACTGGTACTTGGGGATGCTAGTTTGGATGAGAAATAGCAGTTTTCTATGTCAAACGTACAGGAGTGACAGAATGATAGAAGCAGAATTGTCTGGGTTGGGAGGGACCTTTCAGATCATCAAAGGAAGAAAATATACAAATTTAATTGGAAAATAGTTAGAGTAGAATGAACACAGAAACACAGGATGCTATGGGGTTGGAAGGGATCTCTGGAGATCATCCAGTCCAACCCCCTGCCAGAGCAGGGTCACCCAGAGCAGGTCGCACAGGAACGTGACCAGGCAGGGTTTGAATGTCCCCAAAACAGAAGCAGAGGACACGAACACTTCTGTAGCTGTTCAGAAACGAGGGGTTTGTATATTTAGAAGCATGTTGATTAGTGTAAGGAGAGAGTATATTAATTTTTGCATGTGTGCCATATTGAATATGGACTCATTTGGACGGGTCATACACCATATGGACCACGATCGCTAATGATATAATCAGATTTTATTGGTTGTGCTTGATGGAGATAAAGTTATTAATAATTATAACATGCAAGTAAAGGGTGGATTTGAAAGCTATTCTTATTTTGTATTGTTGTCGTGCAATCAGGAAATGCAACAAGTGATGAAATACGCTGCATGGCTGAAGCAGGGAAAAAAAAAAAAAGGAGTTGGGTTAAAATGAAAATTAAAATGGTGCCTGTTAAAGAGCCGCAGTTGCCAGGCTACTGAGAGTGCCGGCTCGTGTGTGGTGCAACACAATGCTCCCTCTCCTCTCCTGCATCCTTTCTGAACTGCTTTATGCTGCCAACATCAAGGTTTAGTTCCTTCAGCTGTCAAGTAAAGTGATTTCCTTCTACAACCAGAGCAAGATTTTGCAGTTTGGGGAGCAGCGAGGTATTGGAATGAACATGGACATTCTTAAGTGGTTTACAAAACATGATACCTATGCTAAGGTAGGGATTATTAGGCATTTATCTTTAAGTTATTGATATATAGCCATGTCTATGTATCTAGTCCATTCAGTTGTTATTTTTAAATAATATTAACTCTATGGTATACAGAATTTCAGTTTAATGTGGGTTTTTTTCTATATTTAGCAACAAGGAAGGACTTAGCATGTTGCTGCTCATGCCAATTGCAAATAAAAGGTTTTGTTGTCCTCCCTCTTCCCTTCATCTCCTTGGAAACTGGGCATCCTTTGACAGCTTTCCCAGGCAGTTTTTACATGCACAGGTTTTGTCAGTGTATACTTAAAGAGTCCAATATAATTACTTGTACATCCCCTATTTTGAAATAAAATGCCTTTTTTAAGAAAGTATGAAAAATTTCCATTGTAAAAAAAATAAAATGCAACATGTGGGAAATAATGCATATATATATTTATTCAGTTCTGCTGCATTTCTAATTTTTTGCCATTTTCCTCTGATGAATGCTGCTTTCTCCCTTCTACTATAAGCCTGTTCAACAGAAATCTATAATGTCAGAGAAGACCTGCAGGAGCCTGCTTTGAAGCATGATTAAAGAGAATAAATGAGAATAAAAGAGAATAACAGTCAGTATGCCACACAATTGTCATTTCTTCTAGGTACCATTGTACTGAATTACGAAGCAAATGCTGCTTCTTAATTACAGGTTTTCTTGTAAAACTGTATATATAACTCATTACAAGGAAATATTAACAAGTTTAAAACAGCAAATACTAGTAAATAATGTGACAATTCCTTGCTGTAATAGAGCTCAATATTTTACAGATGTAATTTTTTTTGCATATACTTAAATAGGAAAAGTCTATATGAAGAATCAAAGTTTAATAATGCTTCTTAAGCATGAATTAACTCAGTGAAATACTGAGCATTTTTAACCTGAGTCTTGATCTTATGAGACATTTTCATTTGAATAGCAGACTTGAAGAAAAATAGTTCATTATTAAAAATGGTTGTTTTAAATTAAACTTGTGAATTTGGCTTCTGCTGGTGAATTTCTTCAAAAAACATTAAAGTTACCATTTGTCTTTAATGTTAATGTAGAACAAAGACAAATGTTGCCTTCTATTTTAAATATAGTACTTAATGTGACATATCCAGTAATTCTTACAGACATCCATTCAGAACTAGGCTGAAATAATTTGATAGCCACGTGATTCTTCTTCTCATATCAAGGCAAAAAGGAAGATCTACCAAATATATTAACAGGAATTTTTTTAAAAACACAAATAACTGCAGAATCCTACAAATCAAATCTGTTGTTACACTGAAAGAAACACTTGTGGAATTCTGCTTTAGCATCTGTAAGATGTCTTAATGTTACAGTGCATCTTACTGGTAATCAAACTGCACATTAAACAAGATTTAAGATAATGTTTTCTTACAGATTAAACTTCATCAAATCAGGAACTTCTTAGCTCCCGTATGAGATGGTTAAAAAGAGGATCTGTACAAAATGAGACAAATCTTTTCCTATTGTGAAATCAATATTTGTGCACTCTCGGTGTCTAAAAAAATGTTCACTTTAATCATTCTCATATATGGTAAACCTACAAACTCAGCCTACGATAATCCAATATTGAACATCTAATTCTCTTCTACTTCTCCGTGGCTTTTTTCATGGTCCTTATTTGTTTGCTGACGTACCTGTTGTTTTAACTGTAATTCTCCCTGGAATCAAGAGTGGAAAAAGAGAGTTCTGGTTCCAGGGATTATTCCATATTTTAGTCAATTGTAATATAATCAACAGGATGACTTTAATTTCAAAAAAGCCAGTTATTTTTTCATTGTGACTGGGAAAAGTCTGTGGTGCAGTTTGGAATGCCCTAAATCCAAGTATTTCTGAATATATGTGATTGATACTCTAATCGCACAACCTTGCAATTATATTAAATGGCAAAATCAGAAATTTGGAGTCTATTTTTTATCACTTTGTGGTGATGAAGATGAGTCTTTAAATGATAAGATAAATTTCTTTCTGCAGGACTTGTAATTTATAACATGAGTTGGATTGTCAATAAACTGCAAGGGGATGCAATTTATGGAACTGTTCTCTCTAGAATCTCTAATTTATTTGCTGCAGAAGTCAGAAAAATTAAGGCTGTTGGCAGAAAGCAAGTCCAACAGCCAAAGCACTATCTGCAGCAGAGCTGTATTTTGTAACTTATTTTTCTCTACATTTTTGTTCTGTTGTTGCACCGTCTCCTTTACCAACATTTTCAGAAGCCAAACGTGGGTATTTCATTTTCTTTAGGCATTTAGAACTCAGAATCTTCAAACACTGTAACTACAGCCAATGGTATCTTTGAGATGACTAGTCCCAAACCTTCAATCTGGTTCTCGTCTTCTGCTGAAGAAGCACCCAAAATAAGTCTCTCTCAATTTTTTTTTTCTTTCACACTTTCCAAAGTGAAAGAGAGAGACTTATAATCTCATGGAGATTTCTTCTTATATTTATTCATTACTATTTATCTGCCAAGTAGATATCCCAGGCAGATAAGAAGCCCTGCTGAAGTCATACATCTGAAGAAGGTGAAGAAGGTCATCTAAATATCCTGTGTGGGGGCAGTACCTTCAGTCGTGCTCCCAGAGCCTTGTTTGGATTTGATTTCACTTCTTTGCAGAAGTGGTGAATCCTTCTTGCAGCACTGTGAAACCTTATTCTTCGGTTTGCATCACCCCACTGTTGCAGGCTGGGGTCTACCTGAGCATCATTGGCAACCTCAGTTTTTTCCTCCCAAACAGATTCCTGTGGATGATATTAAAATCCCCTTCTTTTTAGCACTGAAGCCTCCGAAAATCTGCTTGGCCTTATTCCAGCTACGTTCATTTGTACCTCGTAAACACAAGATGTTCCTGCTAAAACATAAAGGCTAGCTATATTTTTAAGGGACATATGTATACATTATTTATGGGAACAAAAATGTATTATTCTATTCTTTAACATCCCGTCACCTTGTGGAAATCTAATGAATTTCTCTTTTCAAGGCAAAAATGTCGCAGGTGAAACAAGTGGGACTTTTAGCTGCTGGATGTCAGCCATGGAACAAGGATGTGTGTGCTGCCAGTGGGGACAGATTTGCCTACTGTGCTACCCTTGCTATTTATATTTATCAGGTAAAATTAGCTTTATTTAACAAGATAGTTACATTTTTACGCTGTTGTCTGTCTCACTTTGAACCCTTTCCATCAATGTATGGTTGCTGCTGAGATGATGTTTGTGTAAATCTCAGTCTTCCATTCAAGATACCTCTTCCATATTATTTTTTCTCCTTGTTATGTAAAGCTAGTGCAAAAGATTGATGTAAACTTTATATTTCATAGAATCATAAAATCTCATAGAATCATAGAATGGTTAGAGTTCAAAAGGACCTTAAAGATCATCGTGTTACCACCCCCCTGCCCTGGGCAGGGACACCCCCCACCAGCCCAGGTTGCTCCAAGCCCCCTCCAACCTGGCCTTGAACCCCTCCAGGGATGGGGCATCCACAACTTCTCTGGGCAACCTGTTCCAGTGTCTTTTCTGTCCAAGTCAAATTTTAATTTACAGGTTCTCTGGGCAACCTGGGCCAGTGTCTTTTCTGTCCAAGTAAAATTTAAATTTGTTGAGAATTTGAGAACATTGAGAATATTTCTGAATATTTGAGAATATTGAATATTGAGAATTTAATTTATTAAGAAGTCAGGTATTGACAATTGTTAAATCCACTATAAATTCATCTGTACGTCTAATGCTGTTCTAGGAATTATTCTTCAGCCCAACAGTACTTAAAATGAGTTTACAAAAGATGTATTTCTAAAATGAATTTTCTGTTTTGTGTAGCTGGATCACCGGTACAATGAATTCAAGCTGCGGGCAATTATGTCTGAGCATAAGAAGACGATCACAGCCATCTCGTGGTGTCCCCACAACCCTGACGTGTTTGCAAGTGCCAGTGCAGACAGCTTAGTGATTATCTGGAATGTGCCTGAGCAGAAAGTCGTGGCCAGGCTGGACAATACAAAAGGTATTTCAGACACAGATATTTCTGAATATTTGAGAATATTGAATATCGAGAATTTAATTTATTGAGATGTCAGGATTGACAATTGTTAAATCCACTATAAATTCATCTGTACGTCTAATGCTGTTCTAGGAATTATTCTTCAGCCCAACAGTACTTAAAATGAGTTTACAAAAGATGTATTTCTAAAATGAATTTTCTGTTTTGTGTAGCTGGATCACCGGTACAATGAATTCAAGCTGCGGGCAATTATGTCTGAGCATAAGAAGACGATCACAGCCATCTCGTGGTGTCCCCACAACCCTGACGTGTTTGCAAGTGCCAGTGCAGACAGCTTAGTGATTATCTGGAATGTGCCTGAGCAGAAAGTCGTGGCCAGGCTGGACAATACAAAAGGTATTTCAGACACAGAGATCTGTTTGATCCACGCAGCTTTTTCATCCACAGGTGTCAGAAATACTTCATATTGAGTAAACTCTAAGCAGTTTCAGTTTGGATTTTCAGCTTGAGGAGTTTGTCTTACTGTCATTTATTTCTTCAGACACGTGGTGTCCCCACAACCCTGACGTGTTTGCAAGTGCCAGTGCAGACAGCTTAGTGATTATCTGGAATGTGCCTGAGCAGAAAGTCGTGGCCAGGCTGGACAATACAAAAGGTATTTCAGACACAGAGATCTGTTTGATCCACGCAGCTTTTTCACCCACAGGTGTCAGAAATACTTCATATAGAGTAAACTCTAAGCAGTTTAAGTTTGGATTTTCAGCTTGAGGAGTTTGTGTTACTGTCATTTATTTCTTCAGACGCCCACTCTGAAATTAAGAGGATGATGAGATGGAGATTTTAAGCTCAAAAACCCTTAGACTGGAATGCCAGCAGTTGGGTGTTGGGCAGCTGAATTAACTGTCATATAACCAGAAGGAAGCCATCAGAGTTCCCTTCGATTACAGAGCTGCCTTTCTAATTTTGTTCACAAATATCTGCCTCTGTTATATTTGGCTCTAATTTAAATTTCATTATGTTTCGCAAAAATAGACATCTTAAAGGTTTCAGTATTTTACCAGGTCTGTGATTGAAATTAAGTACAGGTATCATAAAATAGAGCCCATCAAAGTAGTATTACAATAATTTGGGAAATAATTCTGCTTCCTGCCTATAGATATATGTTTACTTTTACACCATAAGATGTTCCCACTGTTGTCTAAATTTAATCTAATCGTTTTTATGTAGAAGAATAATTATTTCTACAGCTTTTCTAGCCAATGTACTGATACTGGGCCAAGCAGTGATACACTGAATTTCATATCCTGGTCCTTACACGGTTTCCCTGTGTGTTTCAGGAATCCCTGCCTCCCTGAGCTGGTGCTGGAATGCCGGGGACACGGTGGCCTTTGTGTCCCACAGAGGTCCCTTGTACATTTGGACAATCTCAGGACCCGACAGTGGGGTGATGGTGCACAGGGAAGCACATAGTTTCTTGTCAGATATCAGTCTCTTTCGGTGGCATCCAAAGAAAAAAGGAAAAGTAGTGTTTGGACATACTGATGGGAGCCTGTCTGTTTTTCAGCCAGGTAAAAACTGATACGGTAAAACATTTATTTTTATATGTATATCTTATATTTGAGAGAACCTGAGCATCCACAGGTTCATTGCTTGGGAGCTGGCTGTGATTGACTCCTGACTGGGAGGCTCTACTCTTTCTGCTTAGCTGTGAGTCACTGCTGCATAATTAGTAAATGACAACTGTTTTTTTTCATCATTATCTATTCAGGTTTTTCTCTCATGGCTGTATTTTCTTTTAATTAACTCCAGGCCATCAAATGTTGTAGCAGAACATTTAATGTGAAATAAAAACATCCCAGGATTTAAGATTAGTACCCTATTTTCAAAGAAACACAGTGCAGTCATGAAGAGCCAAGTGTCCTGTCCTAGTTCACCTTTCATTTGTTCTCCAAATAAGCACCGCTGAATGATTCACAGGGCTGGTGTCATCTTTTAATGGAAAATAAAATTTAACAGTTGGGGTTTCCATCAGCTTTGCTTCTACTCTCTTCTGTGGAGCCCGGGGAGAACTGAGCAGCTCCTCAATGTCCATGCTCCCCACCAGCTGGTTGGGCTTTCTTGGGACTGGCTTGGATCGCTTGAGGGCTTTTTGCTTTTAATTCTTGTAAAGCTACCTGAAAAATGACAATTCTGCTTTGTTGTCAGTGCTTGGTTTTCACTTGAATGGTGATTTTTCATTCAGCAAAAATCTGCACTGAAAAGTAAGCCGGGGACACTGTTAAAGAAGGAGGAAATCCCAAAGGTTTTGGCAAATTTAAAGGATTTATCTGGTATTTCTGATATTATTCCTGTTGTTATTCCTGATGTTTCAAAAGAGACAACTGCTGTCTTATACACAAATATAAATGGAATGGAGAAACCAGTTTATGCTGCTAATTGTTATTCAGTCTAAAATTATTTCCTCCATTTCTGGTAGTTGTTCTATAAAGTTACCATAGATATAGTGTTCATTAATAGCATTTTCCCTAGAAAAACATAGTGAGAGTTATTTTAATATTCAGCTTTTTTTTTTTTAAGTCTACCAGAATAGGTGTAGTTCTCCATCAGTCATTAAGGAACCTAGGTAGCTCTTGGCTTTTGTCATATTAGGAAGAATTGCGTTATTCTTTATCGACATTGAAAATTAGATTAAAAACTGAACAATGGAAGCTGTCAATTCATTATTTCAGAAAAGGGGTATAATTTTAGGTTTTTTTTTTAATACAAAATCACAACTTCAGAATTACGGATCTATGTTGTTAATTATTCGTTGGGACTACACACTGCCATGTAAAACTAAGAGCCAGCTCTCTGTAAAAACAAAAAGCAGGAAATAAAGGTGATGTTACAAATTGTGGTGCTTGATAATACGGATGATCAAGTGAAGTATGTTGTCTCTTATGCAGGTGTCAAACTGGATATTTAACCACCTGTTCTGGCTTCAAAATCTATGAATGCTTCAGAATTGCACACGTAGTTTTGAGGAGGAAAAAAATCTAAAGGCAATTGTTCATAATTTTTTTAACTGCGACACATTTTTTTCTAGTTCACACTGCTTTTGTTTTGCCTGAATTTGCCTCTATATGAAAATACAGATAACTTATATTTTCAGCTGTGGTGCAGGCCTTTATTCATGACAATTGTTAGGCCAATGTATATGATTTAACATACTTTGTGATAAAATTATGGTGATAAACCTGACAGCTCTTTCTATTTCCTGCTGTATTAAGAAGATTGGATCTGATGGAGCCAGAACTACTTAAAGTCAAATATTTCAAAGCCACCTTCATTCATTTCACTGGTGCAGAGTAGAGCGGGCTACGAAAAATGTCAGGGAGAGATGGAAAGGATATACTTGATAGCATTTTGTAATAATAATCTGTTTTCTTGTCCTCCTAAAGGTTCTAAAAATCAGAAACACGTCTTAAGACCAGAGTCCCTGGAAGGAACGGATGAAGAGGACCCAGTTACGGCGCTGGAGTGGGACCCTTTGTCAACAGATTACCTTCTGGTGGCGAATCTACACAACGGCATTCGCCTGGTGGATTCTGAATCTCTCTCCTGTATCACAACCTTTAGTTTTCCCAGCGCGGCGGCGTCCGTTCAGTGTTTGGCCTGGGTTTCTAGTGCACCCGGGATGTTTGTGACTGGAGGTGAGCCTTTTCTTTCCCTATTTGCACAAAAGTAATGAAGTCTTAGTCTTCCACATTGATACTTCAAATTTTCTCTCTCTGTTTCTTAACATTTCTACAAATAACAGCATTCGTGTACTGTACAAAAAAATACACAAAAGTAATGAAGTCTTAGTCTTCCACATTGATACTTCAAATTTTCTCTCTCTGTTTCTTAACATTTCTACAAATAACAGCATTCGTGTCCTGTACGAAAAAATTAAACTGTAGAAAAGAACAGGAAACTACTGAGCAGTTTTTTCTTATTTTCTATTTCTTTGGTACATAAATGAGTGACTTTAATCTGGTTTTTTTCATACTAAATATTTTCCTCATGCACATTAAACTGTAGAAAAGAACAGGAAACTACGGAGCAGTTTTTTCTTATTTTCTTGGGTATATAAATGAGTGATTTTAATCTGTTTTAGCAACAAAGATGAGAGTTACTTTGGGAATAGGACTAAAATGCCTTGTACTAGTAGTGGATGTCACTTCATGCTCCCCAGCTTTTCTTGCTCTATTTTTAGAAGGATTTTTTTTAAAAAATGACTCTATTTCCTGCCTCTTTTCTACACCAAAGACCTTAGATTGAAGAACTAATGAGTAAGGAAAGTGAGACACTGAGAATCTTTTAAAATGAGAGAGGTTCCATAGAGTTTATCTACTAAAGTTTAAGTAACTAGTGCTAATAATTATTGTTGTTAATGGTGACACTGCCATGGAGATGACATTCCTTCTTATAAAACTCTTAGGATTCTAAGTTTAATTGCACTATTTTTGCTTAAATCAGTCCTTACACTGCATACCTGTGTACAGTAAAAAGAGAGTAATAAATAAAACAAATAAATGGTTGGTATGTTTTTGTTAAACCTCAGATTCTCAGGTTGGAGTGTTACGTTTTTGGAATGTTTCCCGTACAACACCTATAGATAATTTTAAATTGAAGAAAACTGGTTTCCATGGTTTGCACGTGCTGAGTTCCCCTCCAAAGAAAAAGCGTAAGTGTCATTTTTGTTTTTATTCCTTGCAGTGGCTGCAAGTAAAGAAAAATCTTGCTTGTGATTCTTGTTACAAGTAGATCTCTGTAAGTTTGGGTCAGTTCTGTAGTTATTAACTAAACAAAGTACCCTCTGATGTCAAGGGCTGGACAAATGTGTAAAGCATCAAGCACTTTATAAGGTCCTTCTTTAGGAGGGAAGGCTTCAGTCAGGAATTCTCCATTACTTTTGGTTTTAAGCTCATTGGAATGCAAAGCATTTAACTCTGTATAATTGCTACTTATGATAAAATGGAAAAAAAAATAAAAATAATCTTACCTGTGTATATCTTTTTGCTTTATTTTGTGCAGCATGTTCATCCCAGTATCCTACGAAAAATCACCATACGTCCTCAACCAGCGAGGCTGTTCCTCCTCCAACTTTAACCCAAAACCAAGCGTTTTCCCTCCCTCCTGGTCATGCCGTCTGCTGCTTCATGGATGGTGGAGTGGGCCTTTATGACATGGGAGCCAAAAAGTGGGATTTCCTGAGAGATCTGGTACGTTTGCCCTCTGTCTTTGGCATGAGAGGTTTTTTGGCTTATATACTTTCTTCTAACAGCAAAAAAATAGACAATAAAATCTTCACAGCTCTGTAAAACAGTTTCTGTCATTAGTAGAGTCTTAAATTTCTAGGGAACAAAGTGACAGTTCTCAAGTTGAAACCAAAAAGTGGGATTTCCTGAGAGATCTGGTGCGTTTCCCCTCTGTCTTTGGCATGAGAGTTTTTTTGGCATATATACTTTCTTCTTACAGCAAAAAAATAGACAATGAAATCTTCACAGCACTGTAAAACAGTTTCTGTCATTAGAAGAGTCTTAAATTTCTAGTGACAGTTCTCAAGTTGAACGTGGGCCTTTATGACATGGGAGCCAAAAAGTGGGATTTCCTGAGAGATCTGGTACGTTTGCCCTCTGTCTTTGGCATGAGAGGTTTTTTGGCTTATATACTTTCTTCTAACAGCAAAAAAATAGACAATAAAATCTTCACAGCTCTGTAAAACAGTTTCTGTCATTAGTAGAGTCTTAAATTTCTAGGGAACAAAGTGACAGTTCTCAAGTTGAAAGTAAATCTTCAGGGAAAAAGACTGAATCTTGTTATTCTCTACTTTTTTAAGTATTCTGGAGTTTTCATCCAGAAATAAAGATGTAAGGTCTTGGGTTTTTGTGTTTGTTTTTTTTAAACTGAAATCTTAATTTGATGGCCTTCTCAGAAATATTATCTGGAGGGTTTTCTACAATCCAGAATAAAAGTTCCAGTCAAATCAGAGGGAAAACATACGCAACTCAGATGGTGGTCATTCACTTTAAAATGAGAAAGACCAAATTATTAAATCTTCTTTGCAGTAGAAATTCCAAACTGGGTTTAGCACATCTTACATGAGCCTCTTTTTCACTGGGCTTTGGGTTATTCTTGAGGATTTTGCTCTTTTGCTCTTCCCCCCATTCCCTTTTCCTTGGTAAAATGTGAATAATTCCCAGCTTTACTCCCACCCTGTGAACAGAGGCTGGTGGTTGGTGTTTGTTTTCCATTCTTAATGAAGCTGAGGCTTAAAAAACCTCTTAGATATTGTCTGGTTTTCCTGTGTGTGTAAAGTTAAATACTACAAATGCGTATCTTGGAAAACTAACAACATGTGAAATTTCTAGTGGATTGAAGTTTAAAGTGCAATAGAGCATAGACTGTATTTAGAACATAGAAAAATTAGTGGAATACTAGAAAACTTTTAGAATGTGATCCACATACAAAGCTTTACTTTTTTCAGTCAGATACTTTTTTACCTAAAGGGCAAAATTACTTCTGTTTTGAAAAGTTATTTTTTCTTGGTTGTTTTTTTAGCTTAGCTTTTTAATTCTGTGTGTTAGCAACTCAGTTCCAATGGAAAATGCTAACAAATCCCAGGCATTGCATCACTCTGTTTTAGGGCAGAATTTTTCTATCTTTAATAATGATCTATGAAAGGAAGGAGAGTTATAGTCCAAGCTATTTTATGCCTTTTAATTTTAACTGATAGCCAGGTTTTTTGGCAATTGTAATTAGTCTGACAGGTTGTAATACAATGTATTTTAGAGTTTGATCTAGAGTTGGACTTTTGAAAAAAAAATCAAATGTAATAAAAATGGATTAAATATTTGTTTCATTTAAGGGACATGTTGAGACCATCTTTGATTGCAAATTCAAACCTGATAACCCTGATCTTCTTGCTACAGCTTCATTTGATGGCACAATAAAAGTTTGGGACATAAATACTTTAACAGCGGTTTACACATCTCCTGGTAATGAGGGGGTTATTTATTCCCTTTCTTGGGCTCCAGGTAAGAATATTTTGCTTTGGGTCTGAATGTTCTTTGAATTTGCATTGGCCAGCAGCAATTTGTGTTATAAAAGTATTAGTTTGAGATAGAAATGTATCTTAGAAGGTTTAAACGTGACTGAACTTTTATCTGTGAACCCTGTAGGATTCAGTGCTTCAGAAATTCTTATGCAGACAATGAAGAGGATTTATTTGCATGGGAAGAGTTGATTAAAAGAATTCCCATTCTATTTCATGCTGGAAAAGTGGAACATGCATTTAGTTCTTTTTCTTCCTCCTTTGTGTAGGATTCTAATCACTGATGAGCTCTGTTTTTACCCTGTCAGAATAGGTAGTACCTTTTCAGCTTCAGTTCCTTACCATCCTGGCCAAAAGTTCCTGTCCATCCCAGACAGAACTTTTCCTGCTTCTTTCTTACTCCTAGAGAGTTCCTCTCCACCTTGTACTGTAATTTATTTTCATTCCTAATATATAATCCAATGCATCCCACCATTTGTAATTTTTTTTTCTTATTCTTCTGCCTGAATCTCTTTCCATCTTATACACGTGCCTTTCTAGGCTCCTCCTACAGAGATTGCATTTTCTGCCTCTGAAGTGTGGTATAAAATAATAAAATAACAGTAAAATAACAGTCAAAACTTATATATAAATGTACCATATAGGTATTTAGGAAAAGTATAGCTACATTGGGGTAGAGGGTCGCTGGGGTGAGGAGAAAGAATTTGATGGCTTTTGGATTAGGACTGAATTCAGTTCTCAGGCTCTCACTATGGAGTCAGATATTCAGATTTTCTGCCCTGTAGAGTGTGGTTACAGATCCAAGCACTGGTTTACAACAATGCAACTTTTATTTTGTCCTTTCCTCAAAACAGGAGTGTAGAAAAGCAGGTCAGACTTTTGTGGAGATTGATATTTGTGACTGAGTATCAAGTACTGGCCTGAAACCACGAAAAGCTCTTGTTTACGTGTCATTGATGTCTTCCATTTTACATTTCTTGAATGTAAAGCAGAAACATATTAGTCAAACAATGTTGGGATCTGATGTTTATTGTGAGATCTTACACATGTCTTTCTGTCAAGGAGATCTGAACTGCATCGCAGGGGCGACATCCCGGAACGGTGCCTTCATCTGGGACGTCCCGAAAGGCAAAATGATAACCAGGTTCAGTGAGGTAAGAGGAGATCACATCGCTTTTTCTCTGTATGAAATCCAAGTCAGTCGTTCCTTCTACTGCCAATAAATAAAGATGGGTTTAAATTAATGTTTTTAAAAGGTGCTATAATATAAAAATCTATAGAAAGAGTTACGTAGGTGCCAGTTTATCTCTGAGGCAGAAGAATTTTTACTTGTGATATGAGAATGATGAAGCCCCAGATGGTCTCAATTATCTTCAAATTGGTCTGTAGTGATACAGAGCAGAAGTGTAGCTGTTTCTTTCTTAAGTGTGTGGATGTATATGGGCACACAGACTTTAAACTGGTATCAAAATGTAAAATGATGTCTTTTCAAACAAAAGGCTCATAAAAAAAATCCAGTCCCTGGATTTAGACCAATAAAGCTCTAGTTTGCACCACAGCAAGCAGGAGGCCTTATTGAGACTCTTGCCTTGTCTTAGCTGAAATCTGTGCAGGCATTTGCAAGTCCTGGAGCAGTAGCATAATTGTTAGTGGCAGAAGGAGCTATTTAATCATCGAATCACAGAATTGGAAGGGACCTTAAAGACCATCCAGTCCTCCCCTCTGTGCCCTGAGCAGGGACACCTCCCACCAGCCCAGGTTGCTCCAAGCCCCCTCCAACCTGCCCTTGAACCCCTCCAGGGATGGGGCAGCCACAGCTTCTCTGGGCAACCTGGGCCAGGCTCTCACCACCCTCACACCAAACAAGTTCTTCCCCACAGCTCAGCTCAATCTCCCCTATTTCAGTTTAAGACCATTCCCCTTTGTCCTATCCTACTGTGTTGTGGTTTTCTGTTCTGTTTTTGGTATTCTTAGCACATAGCTGTGATCTTCAGATTATATACAGACAAAATTAACTGTGGCATCTCCACCCCAGGATAAAGGATATTCTTTAATAAGAGAGAGATGAAGGATGAGGGCAGAAAACAAATGTGGCCTTGAACCCCTCCAGGGATGGGGCAGCCACAGCTTCTCTGGGCAACCTGGGCCAGGCTCTCACCACCCTCCCACCAAACAAGTTCTTCCCCAGATCCCACCTCAATCTCCCCTCTTTCAGTTTAAGACCATTCCCCTTTGTCCTATCCTACTGTGTTGTGGTTTTCTGTTCTGGTTTTGGTATTCTTAGCACATAGCTGTGATCTTCAGATTATATACAGCCAAAATTAACTGTGGCATCTCCACCCCAGGATGAAGGATGCTCTTTAATAAGAGAGAGATGAGGGGTGAGGGCAGAAAACAAATATACATTCATACATCTGGGAGTTCCTGAGTTCTAACACTCAGAAGATTTGCACTTGTGCTACTAAACATCTTTTCTCAAAACACTCATCCTGAAACATGTCCCACTGAAGTTTTCATGTACCACAATTATTCGTGCTCAATGACTCCATTATTCCAACCAGGGGTGAACTTTTATTCGAGCTTCAGGTCCCTGTACTTATGGGTTGCTCATTCTTCAACTCAACATGGTTTTGTCCCTGGGATTCTGGAGAGTAAATGTCAGTTTTACTGTCTCTCTTCTCAGTCCCAATTTTTGGACTTGGATATTCTCAAATATCCCAGTTATACTGGGGACTCACTATAATGTGGTTTTATAAGTGTTACTTTACTGGGAGAAAAGCAGCAGAATAAAATCTCAAATATCCCAGTTATACTGGGGACTCATTATAATGTGGTTTTAGAAGTGTTACTTTACTGGGAGAAAAGGGCTAAAGCCCATAGCAGAATAAAATTTAAAAAAAAGATGAGTCAATAGATGAGAGAAAAAAGGGGTGAATTATTTCTTATTGATAGGTATTTTGCATTTTTTGAAGCATGGAAAGAATGGAATCTTCTGCATTGCCTGGAGTCATAAAGATTCCAAAAGAATAGCAACCTGCAGCAGTGATGGATTTTGGTGAGTGTTATTGGAAGAAAAAAGAAAATTTCTAATGCAGTTCTCAAGTCAGTAAATTTTGACACATTGATTTCTATCAGTTATTAATTTAAAAACTGTTCTTACTGGCCAAAACTTGGGTTATATTCATCTCCTGTACTTTTTAGAATATATTTTTCGTGATTTTAAGAAAAGAAATAAAGCAATAGTTTGCAAAAGGAGTAATGTCTAAGACTCTGATAGAGAAACTGAATATTGATTTATTTTGTTTTATTTAGCCAAAAATATTCATCTAGATTTCTTATTTGTAGCTAGAGGACTGTTTTCAAAAACTATTCCACTTTACTTATCTTCATTTATTATATTTTGTTAAAGTTGGTTATTTCAAAGACTAAGAATCGCTACGTTAGACCAAAGTAATTGCAGTTGTACCATTACAGGAGTAAATAGTTTATTTGTAAAAATTTACAAATGCCCATTGAGAACATTTTTGCATGTTTTGTGTTTTGGTACATTTTTAAATCCTTATTCACTCTTTTCCTTTGCGGCTCATGGTATTTCAGCTCAAACATAATGAACATGAATTTTAGAAAACAATCAATATTTTTTTTAATTCCCCAAAGATCTATTAGTACCTTGAAGCAAAGCTGCAACATAGATTTTGGGCTGAGGGCCCTTTCAAGGAGGGAGGTACCGCTGTGGACACCTTTACAGCTCCTCTGAAAGAACGTGGACCTTAAATCAAAGTCCAATTAAATGTTTTATTGGGAAATACATCATTAGCCTTGCAGTTGAGGGGCTGTAGGAATAAAGATTTCTCCTGTGCTTTATGTATATTTTTTTTCTATCTGGCTTATTTGCCCAGAATCAAACTTGGCTTTTGGTTAACCTGCTCAGAATGCTTTTTTCCTCCTAATATTCCATTGTAATTGGTTTCAGTATCGTTCGGACCATTGACGGCAAGGTCCTTCACAAGTACAAACATCCAGCTGCTGTGTTTGGCTGTGACTGGAGTCAAAACAACAAGTAAGTAAAAATTAACCTGAAGAATTGATAATATTTACTATTTACATTGATTAC